TATTGGAACTAAAAAGAACCGTATTGGAACCGTATTGGAGCCGTATTGGATCTAAAAAGAACCGTATAGGAACCGTATCGGATCTAAAGAGAACCGTATTGGACCGTATTGGAACCGTATTCGAAATGCTAAATCTTCGAAGCTAATTTCGAATTCGGATCGTGTTTACAATCAAGCTCTATTCCAAATGATCCCCTTGAATTGACCAAAATTTTATTGGAAAGCAATAGAGTCTTTTTCTAAACCAAAAGAGCTATTTTATCACTTTACCAAGTAAACTATCAAAAACTAAGCAAAAATCAGTTCCACCAAACGAAAAAAACATTCAAAAAGCACTTTATAGTCTTGTGGTAAAGGGAATTTAAGCGAGAAGAAAGATATGTTTTTTCTTTTGCTTTTCTTTTGATTTTCTTTTAGTTTTCTTGGTTTTCTTGGTTTTCTTCTGCTTTTCTTTTACTTTTCTTTTACTTTTCTTTTACTTTTCTTTTGCTTTTCTTTTAACTTCCTTTTGATCTCTCTCAATTTTATTTCCAATGTTTTTACCGAAAATGTGGTTGGCTATTTTGTGGAGATTTTTTCATTCTCTTTCCCATTCTCGTTTTCTCTCATTTCATAGCATTGAAAAGCTTCGAAATTCTCGCAAAACACTGTCATTTATAGCTCAAATTAACGGACACATCACGTACAAATTTTTACCAAGTGATTTTTGTTGAATTGCTTTATACAGCTAATTCCTATCAACTCGTTTTCTAAAATTTGACAAAAAACTACTGTAAGCTGGCTTATAGTTTTCCTTTTCAAAGCCTTTCAAAACCTTTCAAAACCAATTACCGTATTTTCTCTAATAGTAGTGCAACCCGTCGACTGTGACTGCAACCCGGCGTTGGTGACTATTTTACGCTTTCCAAGCTTTTGCAGAAGCTCAATACTCAAATCCCCGACAAGATCTCATCGTCAGCTACACTTTCCGACCCCACATCGATAGGTTCTGATCAGCGGTTCTCGAGATTTCGAGGAATTTAGGAGAAGCTTAGGGTGCACTACTATTAGAGGAAATGCGGTAGATATTTTTTAAAGCTAAGTAGATAGGTTTAAGTAAGAAGAAGGTAGCTTTTCAAAAGTTGAAACATTTTAGAAAACGATAAGGATTTACTCTAATTACAGATAGAATTTTGTGTTTAGTTTATAAAAATGCTAACAGCTTTAAGCTTTAGCTTTCAGAGAGAGATTTAAGACAGGTGTTTAAGAGCTTTAAGACAGCTTTTAGAGCTTTAAGAGAGCTTTAAGACAGCTTTTAGAGCTTTAAGATAGCTTTAACAGCTTTAATCTTTAAGAAGTGAAGAGTATATTGAGGAATATAGGCGGTTTCAATGTCCTTTGCCAGTAACCTTCAAATCTTTCAGTATTCATCTCAATATTTGCTCACCTTGTCCACTTTCAAATCTCAAACAAGCCATAGCTTTCTCTTTCTAACAAGACTTTTTGCATATTCTTTAAACTCGTACATTAAATTAATCTGTTTCCTAAATCGTAATCGGTTTCATAAATCGTTTCTACTTATCAAAGGTATCGTAATCTTGACTTTAGCTAAAGTCAATTTCATTTCCTGCTTTCATTTCCTTATCCAGTCAATTTCTTTTCCTGTGAGGGCTCAAAAAGGATATAAAAATATATAAAAATCTAGAAAGATAAGGATAATTTTGAATAATTGAAATGTGTTTAGTTTCAATAGTTGACAAACTTTAAGCTTTAAGAAGTGAAGAGTACATTGAGGAATATAGGTGGTTTCAATGTCCTTTTCCTGACAAACTTGTAACTTTAATCGATCTTCTCAATCCAATAATCTTTAATCGATCGATCTTCTCAATCCACTAATCTTTAGTCGATCAATCTTCTCAATCCACTAATCTTTAATCGATCGATCTTCTCAATCCAATAATCTTTAACTGATCGATCTTCTCAATCCAATAATCTTTAACCGATCGATCTTCTCAATCCAATAATCTTTAACTGATCGATCTTCCAATCCAATTCTTTACGATCGATCTTCTCAATCCAATTCTTTCTGATCGATCTTCTCAATCCACTAATCTTTAGTCGATCAATCTTCCAATCCACTAATCTTTAATCGTCAATCTTCTCAATCCACTAATCTTTATCGTCAATCTCTCAATCCACTAATCTTTAATCGTCAATCTTCTCAATCCACTAATCTTTTCGTCGTCTTCTCAATCCAATAATCTTTAGTCGATCAATCTTCTCAATCCACTAATCTTTAATCGATCGATCTTCTCAATCCAATCAACCTTGAAACAAAAGCCATCATTGAATGACTGATTGAAATGGAAAAAAAAAAGATATTTCTCTATTTCTCTTTCCCATTTTCATTACCTTCAAGGAGTTCATTGTCCGTGATAATTACTCTTTCCATTTCCCTTTTCATTTTGTTCACTTTCTACGGACTATCACTTAGTGTTTTACTTTGAGAACTAGTGTACTTTTAGACCTTTTAAACAAACTTTTAGACTCATTTTCCTCTTGATTATTTTATTTTTTTAATGGAATTATTGAAAAAAATAAATACGATAAATAGAAATGGCTATTTCTAGAAACATTTCTAGAAAATCGACCAGTTTTCATTAAATTAACCAATTTTTTGATCATTCAATGTGAAATCAAATGGCTTAGGTGAAAAATGAAAAATTTGAATTAAACTGGTTAAAGTTTCAATAAAATTGAAAACTTTGATTGAATATCGATCCTTTTCACCTATCTTGACTAATGTTTTTTGAGTTTTGATCATCGTACTGACGTACTGACGTACTGAGCGTACTGACGCTTTTTCTTTTTCCTTTTTCCTCTTTTGAAACCGTTGAACTCAGCGAATTCACCTCAAAAATTTTCCATTCCTTTCCATTCCTTTCCATCCCATTCCTTTCCATTCTTTTCCATCATAAACGTCACTAATCAGTCAGCAAAACGCTAAAAGAAATCACGAAAATGTTAAGTAAATGTAGATTTATACTCGAATTTTTTTTCCGCTCTATTCGTTGTTGGAGAATCTTCGTGTAGAGCTTGTACAGGACCGATAGCAGAGATATTGGCTTCCGATATCTTCTTTGTTTCCGATGTCTTCTTTTTCTCCTTTCTTGTAGAGCAGGACTGTCCTTGCTTCTCGCCAGTGGTCAGACATCCTCTGGTTATGGAGGTAGGTGGTGAAGCGTTCGGCCAGCAGCTTGTATATGTCTTCTCCTCCAGCCATGAGTAGCTCTGTCTTGATGTTGTCTGGCCCTATGCTCGAATTCTTTATAAGCATCAGTCTTTTTTTTACTGTTTCATTATAAGAAAAAGTATTTTTCAAAATAAGATTAAAAGTCGATTCTTGGCATGTTTACAAAGTTCACAAAAGGTCTGGTACTTTTTAACAGAAACTAGATTTGCAAGCTAGGCCAGGCAAGGTTTATGCTTAATCTAGTCAGAATTGTGAATCAGATTTGCAATAAATTTGCATTTGCAATTTCAAAGCCAGCCGGCTAGGCCAGACCTAGCTTACTGTAGACCGGGCTTACTGTAGACCTAGCCCACAAAAAGCGTCAAAGTTAAGACTAAACCTGGCTTAATTTACATAAAGTACAATTCCCTGATCTCGTAGTATTATTTCTACTGTTCCCAGATACCATTTTTCAGCTATTGTTTAGTTTCTGGGTATTTTGAACAAGTCGTCACGCTTTGAAGGCCTATAACTTTGCCTAGAGATAATATTTTTGCTAACTTTTTATATCATTGTACAGAGGACATTTCAGGCTTTCAAATGATACTAAATAGAGCTTGATCGATTTTTTTAATCCCATAAAAACCAGGCGACACAACACCCGAGTTGGATAGGCCTCTTTTACTTAGAGTTGACTCCGATTTTCTTGAACTGGATTTTCCAATTAAGTTCTATTTAGTATCATTTAAAAGCTTGAAATGTCCTCTGTACAATGATATAAAAAGTTCGCAATAATATTGTCTCTAGGCAAAGTTATAGGCCTTCAAAGCATGACGATACCGGATTTCAAAATACCGGATTTTTCCAAAATATTAGAACTCTTTTAAAACACCCAGAAACTACGCAAAAACCGAAATTTCTTTGCTAAAAACAGTGCCAAATGAGCTGTACGGTATATTCTTTCAGAATTTTGTCAGACAAAAACCTTTCTTGCCGTATTTGTCGAGCAAGTCGTGGACGAGAGCTATCTGTGATGGAGTGGCCGCTGTCAGAGCACATAGTTGAGCCGAAATTTTCACTTCTTATGCATCAGGCATTTCTTTTTTCCTTTAATTACTTTAAAAATGTTGATTTTCCCCTCAATTACCATTAGAAATTGATCATTCGCTTTGAGTTTTTTTTTTAATCCCATAAAAACCAGGCAACACAACACCCGAGTTGGATAGGCCTCATTTACTTAGAGTTGGCGCCGATTTTCTTGAACTGAGATTTTCCAATTAAGCTCTATTTAGTATCATTTAAAAGCTTGAAATGTCCTCTGTACAATGATATAAAAAGTTAGCAAAAATATTATCTCTAGGCAAAGTTATAGGCCTTCAAAGCGTGACGACTCGTTCAAAATATCCGAAAACTACGGAAGAAGTCGATTTTTCTTTTTGACTTTCAATTTATGGTAGCTGATTTCTTATTAGAACTAAACAAAACTCTAGTTTTTCATTTTCCGATCAGTTAAGGTGATAAAATAATGAGAAAATGCTCTTTTCTTTCGAGGAAGAAAGCAATTTCTCTCTTCATTTCTCCATTCATAAATGAGCTCTTTGTTTTCCTGATATCTTCTTTTTTTTCCACTCAATTTCCCTATTTTATCATTTTCATTCGTGAACTTTAAAGGTCTTTTGTGTGGGGAAACTTTCATTTCATTCATTTTCTTATTCTTATCATTCTTTCTTAGCATTCTTTCTTATCATTCTTTCTTATCATTATTTTATTTAGGCTTCTTTCAAAAAAAATGGTGCAAATCTGGGTGACTGAGCCGTATCCATGCGGTGATCCACGACTTCCACACCATATTTTTCCTCCAAAAATGATCACCCCTGATGAGTTGACGAAAAGAACGGGAACTCTTTATTGGAAAGTTGGTTTTAGTGGTAAAGAATCAAAGAATCTGTTATTCCTACCTTTTCTTAATTTGCATAACTGCTAAATAGCGAAATAGTATATTGAAATGCACTAATGAAGCTCTAAAGTGAGCTCTAAAATGAGAACACTAAACAAATGGTTGGATGATAGGAGATTTTGCTATCATTTCTAAGCTTCTAAGATTCTAAGCTATCAAAGTAATTCTAGACATAGAATTATAACAAAAGAACCTAGAAAAACTCTTCACGACTTTCCATAGGCTTAGAAACTTTTGTTATAATTCTATATCCAGAATCTAGAATTGCTTTGATAGCTCAAACTTATTGTTTACTTATTGTTTACTTATTATTTACTTATTCTTTATTTATTCTTTATTTATCCTTTCCAGTTGGACACACTTGATCAAATTGCGCTCTCGAAACGAATCACGATGATGAAATTGGAGAGAAAATTCACGCGTGAAGACATCTACACACTTGATGCTGCCACTACGGCGAATTTCAGTGATAAAGTGAGAGATCGTCTAATAGATAATAGGCCTTTTGTCAGAAGTCAGAAGTCAGAAGCAGTCAGAAGCGGGCTTGTCTACGGCTTTGATGATTCGGGTTCAAGCCATTCAATTGTCTAATAGATACACTTATTCTAGAAGCTTGTAATCCAAAAAACAAGCTTCAGTCAATGATAGATGAAAGAGATTGACTGTCCAATTACAGATTGACGAGCTCTTTGAGGAGGCCACAAATGTCGATGATCAGGCACGCATGATCATTGAAGGATCCGCTTATTTTGATGTTGAAGATAAGGTTACTAGCTTACTATAGAACTTACTATAGATCTTACTATAGATCTTGCTATAGATCTTGCTATAGAACTTACTATAGATCTTACTATAGATCTTACTATAGTAATCATCTATTTTCTAAAGCCTGTCAACTTTCTAAACCATTTAGCTCAAAAAGGATTGTTCATTTATTTTTCAGAAAGGCGACTGGGTTCGAATTCTTTGCGAGTACGGTGATTTGATTCTCATCCCTGCTAATGTCAATCATAGATTCACCACAACTCCAAAAGTATTTTTCTTTCAAAAACTTACAAAGAACTTACCGTAAATACTGTAATAGTCCCCCACCCTCCCCTCGTACAGTCGCGTAGTCGCAAAACTTTCTTTAGTATTTCATTATTTTTCAAAGCGCCCGTACTTTCAAAAAAGACGTCTTTGGTATCAAAAAATAGCTGAAATTCAGGGCTATTTTTTGATACCAAAGATAATGACGGTGCGGAGTGTTGCGTAGTCTAGCTTTGAACGAGTTTTTCTCGACACTGGTTTATGCTACAATGCGCGTTTAGGTATCAAAAAATAGCCCTGAATTTCAGCTATTTTTTGATACCTAAGCGCGCATTGTAGCATAAACCAGTGCCGAGAAAAACTCGTTCAAAGCTAGACTACCCAACACTCCGCACCGTCATTATGGGAGTGGGGCTACTATTACAGTATTTGCGGTATAGATTTATAATTGCTATGGAAAATCTTTATTTAATTTTAATCTTTATTTAATTTTAATCTTTATTTAATTTTAATCTTTATTTAATTTTAATATACTAAACTTATTTGAATTTAGAATTTCGTCAAAATTCGCCGTTTCTTCAAGACTGACGAGGCTTGCTAAAGAAATTCGAAAAATTTTCATTAAAATTCGAAAAATTAAACACAATTTTCATTTATCTAATCTTTGTACAAATGCTTTTAATTATTTTCAATTTTAAATTGTCAATTGATCATATAATTTACTTTTTTTGATATCTTAAAATACCCTTTTATAAAACCGGTGTCAATTGCTTGTACAGATCGGTGAAAAGGAGAGATTAGACAATAAAATATCTTAAATAATGATGAAAGAACATTTTTAAACATTTTTAAACATTTTAAAACATAAAACAATTCTAAAAGCTGGATAATTTGTAATAAAATTTGCTTTTTTCACTTTTTTCAGCTCTTTTTTTGATCACATTCGATTGAGAATTAAACAGTGAAAGAACAAACAAACAAACAAACAAAGTAGAAAGAAAATTTGAAAGAAAGATTACCGTATAATGAAAAAATGATCTATAACTAATAAATAACAAGTAAATGTTAACGAAAAAGTAAATGATTTAAATGAGTAACGAGTAAAATGCGGATAAAGCGTCGGAATGCGAAGCTCCAGGTCTCCAGGTCTAAGTTCGCCTCCTTTAAGTTTTTCTTTTTTTTTCTTTGAACAGCTTTTATAGTGTCCCCTAATTCCCCTTCTCTTTTCAAGGCGAAAGACTTGTGCAAAGTAAGAACGCTCTTACTCACAGCATTACAGGCCAACAGTGTTTGCTGATAGAACTCTATTGGAAAAGGAGTTACCGTATTTTCTCTAACCGCACCGAGCCGAGTTGGTGACTATTTAACGGCTTCCAATTTTTCCCAGAAGCTCAACACTCAAATCCGCCACTAGATCTCATCGTCAGCTACATTTTCCGACCCCACATCGATAGGTTCTGATAAGCGTTTCTCGAGATTTCGAGGAATTTAGGAGGAGCTTAGGGTGCACTACTATTAGAGAAAATACGGTACTTAACTTTGGCGGAGAGATTAAAGGTTGCCAAAAAAAATTTGGATTCATTTTCTCATTAGGAAATAGGATTCATTAGGAAAAAATGCTCTAGAAATATTTTGAGAAACTTTTGCATTTTAAGCAAAGCGGCAATAGTCGGAAAACTTTGATCGGAAGTCGGAGCTAAAGGGATTTCGGCTAAATGCGAAAATTTCCCTCTTAAACTCATTTGATTCATTATTTGATTCCGAATAGTTTTCAAAGTTCTTCACTTTTTAGAAAAATTACTCCTGGGCTTACTAAGCCTAAGCCTAAGCCTAAGAAAATTTGCCAGGATGCTCCTATGGGGGGCGCATGAGCATCGCCAAGCGGGTGTGCCTTAGCTCCGGGAACTGGCTGAGATCCAAAAAATGGGGGGTTCAGCCCAAACCCAAATAGACTTAGTGCGAGGCGCTAGCCGCTAGCCTTCGCACTAAGTCCAAGCCTAAGTCTAAGCCTAGTTAGATAAGAAGATTACCGTAAATTCTAAAATAAAAGCTTGTTTAATCTCTTTATCAAATCAAAAATTACTCAATGATTTAAATAATTGAAAAATAAGCGTCAATTTCTGATATAATTTTCCGATAAATTCTCTTGAAAAAGCTCAAATTTTCGTTTCATTTCTCTTTCCTTTTCTTTCCTTTCCCCCTATCGTTTCCCGATTGCATTAATAAACCCTTGAACCAATATTAATAGAAAAAGAACAGAATGAACCGCGAAAACTAATATATTTTGATGATTTTGATGAAAAGTTTTCATAAAGCTTTTGAGAAGATTTTACTTTCATTCATCAACTTCAAGAATGTTTCGAAAACGCGAAGCTGCCTTTGAGGAGTTTATTTGTAAGTTAAAGGAAATCAAACTTGTTATTTCATTGTTATTAGGCTTTGTATTACAGTAATTGCTTTTCTTTACAGTAATTACAGTAATTGCTCTTCATTGTTATTAGGCTTTGCATTACAGTAATTGCTTTTCTTTAATCTTACTGATGATAAGACGCAAAGTTTGTCTGTCTGTCTGTTTAATTTATAACTCAAGTCCCAGTCTGATTTTTTTGGGAAAATATATAATCGACTACGGCTATTTGGTCTGTTAAATCAGGATTTAACAAGCCAAAGGAAAAGCCAAAGGAAAAGCACGTGTGGCTGACTGGTTAAGTGTCTTTTATCTTAATCGGAAGGTCGAGGGTTCGAACCCCACATGCGACATGGTCACCCCCTTCGGATTTCCTTTCCCTTCGGGTTGAGAGGTTTTCTGGAGGGCAGTCTGGTGGTTGTGGCCCCAGTTCTTTAAAGTGACAAGCCACTCCTTCATCGTCATCTTCCCTTCACCACCAAAAAAGCTATTTAGTTCCCCATTGAGCTTAGGGTTAGGGAGCCGTCTGTCATGACGTGGGTTAAGTTAAGATATAGCCTAGTATTGTGTGTGTCCTTGTATTGTGATTGATATATTTCGTGTATGCGATAAATTCACCACTGGTAGCCCCAGTCGGTATTTTTTTTTTAAAATAGCCGTAGTCGATTATATATTTTCCCAAAAAAATCAGAATAATAATAATAATAATACTTTATTCAAACGATAAAGTGAAAGAAATCATAGAGAAATGCACAGTGATACTTAATCATACAATACATACTGAAATCAATAAGCCAATTACTTACGGCAAAGAGCCACTAGATCTAAAGCATCGATACGTTTCTTGAATATGAAAAGCGACTGAATTTCTCGTATGTCGTTTGGGAGCAAGTTCCATAATCTAGCGGCTCTAACGGGAAATGAATTTGATAAAGAGGCATTGGAAGCAAAGGGAATTTGCAAAAGGAATGAGCCACTTCTGGGCCCTGACCGCGGTTTAAATTTGAAAAAGTCTATAAACAAAGGGCTAAATTGAAAAGAATTGAAAAAACTTTAACCGTCTTTAAACAGTTCTTTAACAGAAAAACGGATTTGGTATCAAAAAATAGCCCTGAATTTCAGCTATTTTTTGATACCAAAGACGCTTTTTTTTGAAAGTACGGGTGCTTTGAAAAATAATGAAATACTAAACAACTTCTACAACTACGCGACTGTACGAGGGGAGGGTGGGGTACTATTACAGTAGAGGTTGCCAAAAAATGAATTTTGAATTCATTTTCTCAAAATATATTAGGAAAATATGCTCTAGAAAGATTTTGAAAAAGTTTTGTGTTTTGAGCAAAGCGGTAATAGTCGGAAAAATTTTGTTGGACGTCGGAGCTAAAGGGATTTCGGCTAGACGGGAAAATCTCCCTCTGTTTAGTTACTCAAATGCAAATTCAGTAGTAAAAATAATGAATTTTAGTCATTTTATCAACAATTAATACTAAGCTTTGACTCTTGTAAACTATGCTGTGGCCCAAATCGATCGCAAAAGACATTGACGCTACAAACTACAAGCTCAGACTACAGACGTTTGTAGAAATAGCGTAGAATAGCTATTTTTCTAAACTGTTTTTACCAAAAGATCGAGTCAAGTTTGGGCTTTTGAATGACACAAAGAGCAAACTAATCCATGATCTCTGCGCTGAAATCTAACGTTTTTTCCAAACTTGTAGTCCTATTCAATGGAACGAACCTGTAAATAGTAGTTTATAGGAATAGAGATCGTGAATTGGTCTGATCTTGGTGTCATTCAAAAGCCCAAAATTGGTTCAATCTTTTGGTAAAAACAGTTTGTAAAAATAGCTATTCTACGCGTTTCTACAAACGTCTGTAGTCTGAGCTTGTAGTTTGTAGCGCCGGCTCAGTTTGACTAACTTTGTTTTTTCTTACTTTTGTTCAATTTGGACATATTTGGTATTATTTGATAGCTAATGTTTTTTCCTATAAAAATACAAAAAAAGTTTTAGAATTGGTTCAAAGAAAGCTGAGAAAAACGTAATTTGCTAACGGCAAGTTAGCAAATTTTGTTAGTTAGCTAACGCAATTTTCTAATTTAACCGTTTCAGCCAAGCATCGCCGACTTGATGAAATCGATGAAATGGAAGACGGCGATGACGATGATGAGGTACTTTTTAGGTTAAAGTTGGGTACTTCTTAGGTTAAAGTTGTAAATCCTGATCCTGATCACTTGCGGTAGATTGTAAACGAATCTAAACTTCTTAGAGTCTTTTTCCAGGATCTCGAGGGCGAAGACGAGGAAGAGCCAGCCACAAATCTCAACAATCAGCTACAACATCCGACAAAAAGATTTCCCTGTAGGACACAGTATCGGTTCTTATGGGTTAAAGCGATATTTGTAGCCAAAATACGGAAAAATGACTCAAGATCAGCACAAATTAGAGATTTTTGCTTGATACAACAAAATGAACCGTGCCAATAGCTTCCCCAACCCCGAAAACCCCTAGGTACAAAAATTTGGCTTCATATCTCATCTGAGCAATGTTTACAGAACAAAAGAAATTCCTTTGTAAAGAGAATTCCTGGTTCTTTGCGCGGTCTTTGTGCGACCGCGTACTCGCTTGCTGTCTGGCGTAGGGCTTTTTCATAAGAGAGATCTTTTTCGTCCGTCGTAAGCAGTCTGGTCGGGTGGGACCGGTGAAAGCCTAGCTCCCGCTAGTCTAGTCCCGGCTAGCAATCACCTGAAAGCAGGGAACAGTAAAGAGCCGGCCAAGGCAACAGTCCCCAAGGCCCCCAGCACCATTCGGGGAAAACCGATGTTTCCTTCACCGAACCAGTGCCAAAACTTGCATACAAAGTAAAGTTCATTTTTACAGGTGGTAAAACTTGTCAATAGAAATGGTCTAACCCATAAGAACCACAATATCACTTGCAGAGATTAAAGGTTGCCAAAAAATGAATTTTGAATTCATTTTCTCATTAGGAAATAGGATTCATCAGGAAAATATGCATATAATATATAAATAAAATAAAATATCAATTTTCAGTTCCCCAAGCGTCTCATCAATTGACACAAGACTCATTAAACGTAAATTTTCGTAAGCATTGTAAAATCAAATGAATCTTCAGGTATCGCATTCATTCGGTGGAACCCCATTCTACGGAAATCCTTTCATTTCAATGGTAATTTATTGGATTTAAGCTGTTGTAAGCTTTTACTTTAGGATTTTCTTGGTAATTCATCTTTTGTATACAGAGGAAATGAAGAATCACGTCGTTTTTCAAACGAAACGATTTCCCCGAGAGCCAACGTCGATCCAAGAGAGGTTTTTGCGTTTTTGTATTGTAATCGAATCTTTTGGCCAACTTGCCTTTTGGCCACCTTTTGGTCATCGAATCTTTTGGCCACCTTTTGGTCATCGAATCTTTTGGCCACCTTGCCTGCTAAGTTTCATTGTTAGATTTACTGCAATGTTCCCGGTCGAACTTCACTCCTCAGCTCGACCACCAAATACAAAGTGACAGTTGGGGAAATTCAGCGGAGAATCAGTGCACCAGAATGTTTAAATGCATCACTTCTTGGAGGAATTCTTCGAAAGTAAGCTTGTTGCTTAACACAATAGTTTTATACTAATTATGCTAATGCTAGTTAGATTCAGAGACTTGTAGAGTATAGTTTTGGAGTGTTGCCCCTTCTGTTCCTCTCAAAAGTGTCCTTGATTGTTCCCCTAAAGTGTCGCCCTTCGCTAGGGAGAGATGGGGGACACTTAGGGTGGGTGAGGCAGTATTATTTCACATTCATTTTGGCAACGGAGTTAGGGTGCTTGGCAAGAAGGGGGGCACTCGAAATGTATAATAGTGTAGAGCATTTTTGTAGAGCCTTTTTGTAGAGCCCTTTTGTAGAGCCAAATCGAAAGACGGTGGGAAAACGCTGCGCGATTCGTTGAAGAAAATTGGACTAACTCTGCCGGCGGGAAGACGGAAACAAGCAATTGTGACTGCTTGGACGGCACTCGTTGAAGGTTTCGTTTTAATAAAAGTTTTGAAATTAGCCTTTAGTTATCTTTTAGACTTCTTGATAGGCTTTACAATTCAAAAATTCAAAACGAATATTATTCCCTCGAATTCCAGAAGAAGCCGTTCACATGGCAAAGGATTTTCATTTGGTTTGCGAGAAAGAGTTCCACTCTCGGGAATTCGGGATTTATTTGACGAAAATTGGGATCGCGCGAGAGGGAGAGCCGATGAAGAGAAGAGAGAATTTGGAGGCAACGAGGTAATGGCTCCAGGGCTGGTGGTGATAATCCAAGACCAATCCAAGCTAGAAAAAGCAATGGATCCAAGATCTGGCCTTGTTTCTGGCCTTGTTTTCCTTTGACCCGCAATCAAATCAAGGAACTCTGTTCAGGCGAATGATCGACGAGTTGATCGAGTTGATCTCCGCCGATCGAACGCCTCTCACCACTCCGCTCGCTTTCCCGCTTCGTTCGATGCACTCTGTCGATCCGAACATTCAACAGCATCTCAGCCATTTCACTCTGGTAAAAGAATTTTTTGAAAATCAATTTAATTTTTCCTAGATGACTCACGGTTTTGGTATGTTAGCCGTGCGGGCAGTGCTTGGTTGTGTGCAACGTCTCGTCAACGAATCCCTTTGCTTTTTGGATCGAAATTTCCCCCAAACTTCTCTCTATTCAAATATTCATCCGTATCAACGTTGAAACGATGATTTTTGGCTATACTTGTATTGAAGATTAAGTTCAGCATTTCGAAATTTCCCTCAAACCTCTCTCTATTCAAATATTCAATAGAAAATTGAAGCGTAAGAGCATTAAGCTGATACGTGCTTCAATTTTCTTCAATTTTGAATACTTCAATGCGTCAATGCTTCAATTTTCTTCAACTTTCCTTTTGTTTTGAAAGATTTGATTGATTTTTTTTTTGAATAAATGCATTTACAGTTGAAAAGAAAACTGAAAAATCGGTTTCTTTTTCCGCAAAAAGTCTTGATTTGTTTTTTTTTCCTTTTTCGGATCCAAAAGTCAAGCACATTTCTTTTCGGCTTTTTTCCTTTTTGCTTCTCAAGTGTTCTTGGATTTCTTGTCTTCACGTTGATCAATCACAAATCAAACAACAAACCCGGTTCCTCTGATTACATGGAGTTAAAACAAGATTGACGTAATCAATGCTGGTCAGTTGTTTGGTAAGAGAAAAAGTGATGACTATGTACGTGTGTGTAATTCGAGATCTCAATGAGATGAGAAAAGAAGGGGTTTTATTCTTAGAAAATGACTGATTTCCATTCAATGTAGTAAAGAAGTGAAGGAATTGGCAGGAAAAAAAGATTTCCGGAGAGGGGATCGAACCACCGACCTTTCGCTTCGCGGGCATAAAGAAAACATAGAGAAAATCTCTGTCAAAGTCAGACTATCCACTTAGAAGAGTCCATCCAATTAAATGGTCCATAGCTCCAGGTCTAGAAACCCAATCAACACCTGGTTTCTTTTATTAGAATCTACATTAAATTTGACTCAAGAAATCTAGAATCTGTTTTGTAGACTTCCACTCTAACCACTGAGTTATTCGGTACTTTGACCTGGCAAAAGAAAGAAGAAAACACAAGGGGGAGATATCCCTTGAAATACTGATAAGTAAAGCATAAGTGGCAACGGGATAGCTGTCGATGTAGCGCATTGGTAAAGCGTCCGTCTGGTAAGCGAGGGTCGAGTACCGGCATCAACCTTTACCCAGCTCCAACAAAAAAAGGATCAGCGTCTTCAACTGATGGCCTTTTATAGCTTTGCCTTTGTTTGATTAGGCTTCTACTTTGTCTATTTATCTGACAATCGACAACAATCGTTTATCAGATCTAAAACTTGGGTATTTAAAGCGAAAAACAAACGTTCATAAATAATAAAGAGAAACGGAGAGAAATTTGAAACTAAATGATCTATAAGATTGATAAAAATATGATTTTATGCTCTTTCAGGATGCACCATTTTGTTCTGTATTCATTTTGTTCTGTAAAAAGTATTCAGCTGGAGTGTTTGGATTATAGGATGGATGAACTACCGTAGGCTTGGGAAAGTGTATAAAAGGAGAAAATTTAGCAAAAATTTTCATTCTGGCTCAATCGTTAGCAGAGTTTTTAGTTTAGTAACGCACGCAAAACGCAAAACAAAACGCACGCACCCAATCCCTTTGATAATGTCGTTAAATTATTTATATTTTTTATTTTAGAGGAGCTGTGTTCTGTATTCTGCTCATTCGATAAACCATCACCCTGAAATTTCGGAGTATAAAATACTATTTTGTGCTATGAGCGTAAAAATAGCGTAATGAAATGAAGCTTTCGAAGCGAAGCACAAAAACACAATTTCTACGGTATTTTGTTCACGCATTAGCTTTCCATCTTTTACAAGTAAGCCACAAGTTAGCCTAACAGGCAATGCACTGTTTCCTAAGCAATGCACTGTTTCCTAACAGGCAATGCACTGTTTCCTAAGCTTAAGCTAAGCTCATCTATTCCGAAACAACTTTACAAAAGCTTTTACAAGTTTGCATGCAAATTGATAAATTATGCAAACGGTAAAGTCGCTACATTATCAAAATCGTTTTCCCGTCATCAAATCAGATCAAAATGTTGGAGAAACAAATTTTTCTCATTAAAGAATGAAAAAGTAACCTAAAAATGAATCAAAATCACTTTAGATCAATCAATGTTTTAACATTTTTTTTACAATTCTTTGGCATCACAATCCAGATCGTCACGTTTGCATAACCAATTTATCCCACTGAAGATTTAAAAATATTCCAAGAGATCTAGATAAATCTAATTCTAGATTAGATAAATCTAGTTCTAGATTAGATAAATCTAGTTCTAGACTAGATAAATCTAGTTCTAGATTAGATAAATCTAGTTCTAGATTAGATAAATCTAGTTCTAGATTAAATAAATCTAGTTCTAGATTAGATAAATCTAGTTCTAGATTAAACAAATCTAGTTCTAGATTAGATAAATCTAGTTCTAGATCAGATAAATCTAGTTCTAAAGCCTAATCTTTCTCCTAAACGCTACCAAGTTTAAGTTTTGTTTTGTATATTACAAAAACGTCAAAACGAATTCTCCCCTTGAATCTCAATGAGACGAGAGTGAAGCGGTGAATGGACAAAATGCGAGGATAAGTGCCTTTCGGCTAATCGTTCATCGACGGCCGCGGATTTGGCCAATTCTTGAAGAATGCGTGAAATACGCGTCCTTTCTTTCTTTCTTTTTTTTTCCACCTCTTCCATCACAAATCGTTCCGGACACCCGGAAAAAAGACAAAGAGAGAAAAAGGAAAAGAAGAAGCCGACGCCGAATCATTCAAACAAAGCAAAAGAGGGGGACGGTCATTTCTTTTTGAGAGATCATTTCCCCACGCACTCTGCCATTCGCCATTCATACTCCTATCTACAGAAATCATCTTTTTATCAATCTTAAACTTATTCACAAACTGTTTAAGTCTCTTTCAAGTTCTTTTACAGAATCGAAATTCTTTTGATCGCCTTGTTTCTTGCTACTGTCTTATTGATAGATTTGCTCTCAATCCTTTGCATAATCATAGTCAAATCCTCTAAACTAGAACACTTTGAGAGATCCATGGCTAGCGTTTACTCTAGCACTACAAACTAGCACACTTTGAGAGATCCATGGCTAACGTTTACTCTTGTCCAACCTCGTCCCTCAATACAGTATAATGCATTTATTTAAATAGTGGTACACACAAGCAAGCCATCAGCTCTCAATGTAGAGAAAAAGAATCAATAGAAAAAAAATATAACTCAGCCAGCGGGATTGAACCCTTGATGCCCTGACTAGGATACAGGACTCTTAGCCACTTGGCTATGGAGATATGATCGCTTGGTTGTAAGTGAGGGAGTTAACCTCCTTTCATCATCTGACTTTTAGGTTAAATCCTAGCCACTTGTCTAGATTTTCCTATTGCCTACTCACGGAACTTTTCTCTTTAATAGAGATCTGTAAAATACCGTCAAATTTGAGCCACTTGCCCACCCCAGTATCTCGAAATTTCATACCTATATTTCTGTAAAGCTTTTTTTGTCTTTTCTTCTCCAAATTCGAGTAATGTTCTTCCTGAGCGCCTATATTTGCATACTACTGAAATTTGAGACCAATTACACGAGTCTAGCACCGCAAAAACATCCCAACTAACCTTCAAAAAAGCTTCTTTCATCAATTCACTAGTCAATTTGAATTGCAAAACCTCTTCCAGAGTGGCTAAAAGTATTCGAATGCGAACGACGACACGATTTCTTTTACTTATCGCTTTCATCGCCATTTTCTTGCCTCATCTCGATGCCGCTCCAAACAAGGTTCGTTTTTGAAGTCTTTACGATTATTGAGAGGAGTTGAAGATTATAAAATTGTTGTTAGTATTTACTTTGTTTGATAACTCTGTCAGATCTTGGCTGGGCTTGGCTGGGCTTGATCTTGTCTGATCTTGTCTGATTGATAGATTTGCTCTCAATCCTTTGCATCATCATAGTAAAATCCTCTAAACTAGCACACTTTGAGAGATCCATGGCTAACGTTTACTCTTGTCCAGCCTCGTCTTGTCTCATCTGATCTTGTCTGATCTTGTCTGAACTTGTCTGATCTTGTCTGACCTTGTCTGATCTTGTCTGGGCTTGGCTAGGCTTGGCTGGGCTTGCCTGATCTTGTCTGATCTTTTCTCATCTGTTGTCTGATCTTAAACTGTTTGTTAGAGAAAGATTATGATCTAGTTTGTGAAATTGAGAGTGTCAATGAATGGTAAAGAAAAGAGACCCTCTCGAAATGGGAAAAAGGGTGTGATTGGCGGAAATCCTTCAAAAAAAAAACTCCTCACACTTTTCAAGCACCCGACTGAGATTGGCGGTAGTTTCAAGGGGACTTTCAAGGGGAAGAAGTGGACAAAATCTGGCGGTGACGTTATCAATAAGCATTCAAGCTTTATTGACGTTATCAATGCTCATTTAAAGTATTGATATTGATGGATATCGATCTTAACCTGAACGAAGGATTTGTTGTATTTGTTTGTAAAGTTTATTTAACATCTTGTTTCATAAAAATGCCTGAAAATCGAAATGAGTCTTTTGCGCAAAAGCAAAAAGCGCAAAGGCTTTTGCAAAAGAAAAAAAGGAAAGCTTTTCCCTCCACGTTTCAAATAAATCCGTAAAAACGGAAGCGGAAAGTTTGCTTTTGACAAACAATAGAAAATTAGGAAAATATTAAATACTAGACTCTTTAGTTCAAACCAAAACCAAAACCAAAAACGAAATCCACTTACTGCTGTCATTTCTCATTCCCTTCAGGGTCTAATCCGAACGAAACGCCAATGTGGATGCGTGCGCCGACAACCGCTGCAATGTCAATGCTCGGGATTCGGAAGTGAGAGATTGAGGGATTTGGATATGAAATTTCACTTTCCAGGTCAACAATCGTGTGGCTGTGCCCCATATGCGGGTTGTGGATGTTCGCGACCGCAAACTTGTACCTCGCTTTGTCAGGGCACGTGTCAAAGTAGTTGCATCGCACAGAATCAACCACCACAAGCATGCAGGGTAAATATCAACGAAATCGGATCCTTTTATGGGTTGAGGCTGGGAATCCAAAAGATCAGCGCCGGGACTAGAACCCGCGAACTCTTGCTTACCGGGCGAACGCTCTATGAATGAGCTACACCGGAACGTATCCAATCGCCGCGAGAATAGCGCATTATGCCTTCCTTTCGCATACTGTCGTAGTTAAAACATTCAGAGTTAAGCCAAAGAAAGTAAGCCACCGACTGCATTAACAACATTAACAGCCGACTGCATTAACAGCTGACAGCATTGATCTTGATTATATATGCTTCTAATTGATATAAAGATTATAATCTAAATCTATAGAGATAAGCTTACCGATATCCAATTTATAGACATAAAGACAGTGCAGAATTACGATACTTACGATAGACAAACGATGATTGATTGAGCTTTAAATGCCTCGTATGAATCTTATCCCATTTTTCTTTGCAGAATACCTGCCAACGAACGTGTGTCACGTCGTGTGCGATCGCTCAACAACAACAACGATTGCAGCAAAATGTGAGAAAAGTTTCAATCTGTACTTATACATTTAAGTAGAAATGTGCGGATCATCTGGATTCGAAGATCCCGACGATTTCAGACTTGAAAATCTGGATTCGGATCCGGATCCCGATCTGGATTCGATTCTGATCCCGATCTGAATCCCGATCCGGATCCGATCTGAATCCCGATCCGGATCCCCATCTGGATTCGATTCTGATCCTGATTCGGACTTTTTCCTTTCGGATAATCCGAATCCAAATCCCGATAGTTTTTTTTGAGAACAGCTAACTGGCTAAATTATAGAAAATGAGATCTATCATCGACTTTAGCAACCCCAATTCGCCCCGAATCCCCAAGCTTTAACAACGACCACCACCACGACAACAACGATAAACCAAAAAACGCCGAATCTACGAATTGTCATCAATCAGGCATCGGTTTGTTTGTTTTTTTTGTCGAAAATCTCAACAGATTTCAACTCATAAACCTTTCAGAGTACAAACTGTAAAGACGATTGCCAAAACAAATGCGGAACCGTTTGCTCGGCTAAAAACTACCCGTCGGTGAGGAAAGATTGAATTCTTTCAAATTTAATACAATATACTTAAACTTAAACATTAGATTTTAGATATCTTTCATTTAAATGCAAATTCAATTTAGGAAATATGCACTCAAAGCTGTGATGCCTCGTGCAATGCTGTTTGTGCGGCTGGTCAGCAAAATGGTAAAGCAAATTGAAACTTTTCCAAGGATAAACCGTAAAGCGGATAAACCTCAGCTAGTTAATAGCAGCTTGTTAATAGCAGCTTGTTAATAGCAGCTAGTAATTAGCAGCTAGTTAATAGCAGCTAGTTAATAGCAGCTTGTTAATAGCAGCTTGTTAATAGCAGCTTGTTAATAGCAGCTAGTTAATAGCAGCTTGTTAATAGCAGCTTGTTAATAGCAGCTTGTTAATAGCAGCTAGTAAATAGCAGCTAGTTAATAGCAGCTTGTTAATAGCAGCTTGTTAATAGCAGCTAGTAATTAACAGCTAGTAATTAACAGCTAGTAATTAACAGCTAGTAATCAAGGGACTACGGTAGATCACGATTTATTCATTCAGCTGCTTCCCATCCGACGCTCACTCCAACAATCACCCAAAAAATCACTCAAACGCAAGATCAAGGACCAATTAACATTCAAATCAAGGTAGAGAAGGTTTTAAAAGGATAAAAGAATTTAAAAAAACAAAATAAAGCTCTAACTATAGATCCAAGCTCAAGCCTTTCCTACTTTATCTTCCTCATCTTCTTCTTCTTCATCATCATCATCATCATCATCATCTTCTTCTTCTTCATCTTCTTCTTCTTCATCTTCAAATCCCCAATGTCTTCCATCTTGCCAACAATCTTGCATGGATAATTGCGGCTTTTCACAAAAGGTTCGAGCTCTTCAATAGCTTTTATAGCATTCATTGATATTGAAATATTTAGAATTGCGAGTCCTCTTGCACGAGCGCGTGCACGAATCTTTGTCCAACTCAATCACAACCACAAAAATTGGTGAGATGGTTAGAAATTTGAGATAAAGATAGATAAAGATTTAAGCTATAAATTGTGCTCTAGCCTTTATCAATTGACACCAAAATCGATTTCCTTAGCTATTTTCCATTCATCCATTTCCCTAGATTCAACCGAATGCCCCCGGATCCCAATCACTCGTCTCTCAAACCCTCCCCGCTGGATCCTATCTCAACCCGATTCCCGTAAATTTATATTTATAAAGAAATTTCCATATAGAACTTCATTTATTTTATGGTTTATCTAATTTTTAATCAAAATTAGCTATATTTCTAGCTTTTCTAGCTCATGACCACTCCGGCTCCTCTTCAAGCAGTTCTCAACACTTTGCAAGCTGGCCAATGCCTACAACAATGTGCTACGGTAAGAAAAAAAAATTAGATATTGGTTGAATATCTATTATCTCATTAAATGCTAATTCAAATTACAGTCAACACTTAGGGTTGTAATGATTCTTGTCAACAACAAGTCGAAAAACCCCCGCAAGGATGTGTAGCCTCTTGTGATCACACTTGTCAAGATGTGAGTTTGAAAACAATTGAAATAATTTGATCAGTGATTCGTTTAGATCTCTAAATATTAAATAAATCTCCAATCTCTAGGTTTGCGGTGTCTCGGCGGCAATGCAGAACCCGCAAGGCATGTGCAAATCGCAGTGCACAAATGTTTGTGGCCTCGCCTGTCAATCTGCACAGTTTGTTCAATGATTTGAATTTAGAAATGGATCAAATAAATGCTAAAGATTTGTTCTTTAGAAACACAATCGTTTCCACATGTGTCTCGCACTGTGATCCCGAATGTGAGCGCGCTTGCACAAGCCCGAGCGTTCAGCAAAGCTCCGCACAACTCTTCGCCACCGCTCCACCGTTTCAGGTTTTATCAGTTACCGTTTTATTTCCTAATAGTTTCCTTTAATAGGATGGCATTATTGTTAAATTGAGGTCAGCCCATTGCTTACAATTTAGCAACCAACCTACGACTCGGCCACCTCCGCCACTCCCATCACCACCCCGTCCAGCCCGTCGGTTTTCGATTACAGGTAAACACTTTCAACTACAGATTACAGATTACAGCTACAGCTAATTATTTCCAGCACTCCATCCTGTGTCTCAGCTTGTATGCCGGCTTGTCTCCCATCATGCACCACATCATATACACCGAGTAGCTCCGAGGCGACATCAGCTGGCGAATTGAAGGTCAATCAATTGCTCTAATTTTAGGCATAGATTTTTAGAAGTTAAACAATGTTTCTAACTAGAGAATGGCATCAGATCAAAGTGGCCTTTTAAGATGAGAACCACGGCGCTTTATAGAATCGATTGATTCTGAATATGCTTTTACTTTTTCCAAAAAAGCTTTTTAACGCGAGATATCTAGCATCAAAGTTTAGGATTTTCGGAGTTCGTATCGCTCTTCCTTAAATAGAGAGCTTGAAAGCGTAAATAGAGAGCTTGAAAGCGGGAAAATGCTGGAGATGAGCATATCCATTACCCCACTAGCTCAATCTTTACAGAAGAGAGAAAAAGCTTATAAGGACTCCGACCAGCTTGACTTGATGCTTTTCCTAAGCCTTCAGATCTAATTATCTGACTTGAATCTGAAGAATCTCGCCTAAATATTCAAATAAAGTATTGCGATATAGGGTATACGGTAATGTATTAAATACCGTAATCTGTGAGCTTTAGGGAACTATGGAAAGCTGCTACGTAACTATGGACGTCCATAGGGAACTATGGACGCTAAAGAGCTAGCTTTGGGTAACAGTATAGTACGGGCAAGGACAGGCAATGTTTCCTCCTGCGCTAAGCTTATATAAAATTTCTCTCAAACAACTTCTACAAAAGCTAGCCCAAAATTTCAGACTGACTTTGCCAGTACAGAGGCGACGATCGCTTTCAAATTGAATCTTACCATTCCGCCAAAACCTTTCCATTTCGAGTACAGCCCAAGCACTGAAAGCCCACTAGATACAATGGAAACGGCGAATCCATTAGACACTTCTTTGCCCCCAACAAGCACTCCACTCTCATCCACAGAGCCATCGGTTCTCGATGTTTTCCGGAGACTTCTCCTATCCACTTCACTCAACCGTCCACCAATCATCCGTCCACCCCCACCATCCCCTCAACCATCATTCTTTTATCGTTTCCCCACATTGATCCCCACAAGAGCCTTTCGAACAACACCCACATTGCCGATTTTTTCCTATCATCGTTTCCCTATATCCCATAGACATTATTATGTGCTACCATAGATCAAAAAACAGCTCGATTCTCTAAAATGCGCTTTCTACTAGGCTTTCTACTTTCTATTCTCTAAAATGCGCTTTCTATCCATTCTATTATCCAAAGCCTTTTCTTTTCATATTTCCGTAAAAAGAACAAATTCATCAATTGTTGAAATCTTAACAAAAGTTTTCTAGTTTTTTTTTGTTCGGAGATGCGAACTCGACCTGTCAAAAAAGGACTCGATTACCCGATTTAGACACTTTATAGCTCCTTTATAGTTCCTATTTAGTTCCTTTATAGCTCCGTTAAAGCTCCTTTAAAGCTGCTTTAAAGCACTACTGTCTACTGTCTACTGTCTACTTTAGAAAAACTACCGTAAAGTAGGCAAGTAGACACCTTTTGGAAAGCGCATTTTTCAAGAGAAAATCGCAAATTTTTAACCACAAAACACTTTATTTGATAAATTTCACATTGTAAAGCTTTTTGATTTCCTTTCCTTTCACTCATTCCCTCAAAATTTCAGCTCAAGATTCAAATGGTGACGACAGGACCGGGAATCTCCTCTGAGGCTTGTGCTTCCTATTGTTCATCGGCATGTGATGTACAGTGTAGCACAGGTACACCCACTGCACCCATTCATCCATGATACCAAAGCACTTGCTCAAAAACGTCCCCCCCCAAGCAACCATAGCATTTAAAGATGTATAGACGTTTAGAAAATGACAACTGACAATAGTTTTTAACTTATTAACCTTTAAAAAAAAACAACACCCATATTGCCGATTTTTTCGTATCATCGTTTCCCTATATCCCATAGAAATTATTATGTGCTACCATATCGCTAGCACTGGTATGCCAGGGTTGGCAACAAATCAAACTTTCAAGAGAATGGTCGAAACGGAAACTATGAGATTTTAATGGCAAGAAGATGCAAACGCTATTCGGCGAAACATTAAATTTAGAAACAAAAGGAGAAAAAAGCCGAGGCTCGGATTCGAACCCGAGAGAAAAGCCCGAGGGCCCGACTAGCGCCCCGACGCACTAACCACTAGGCCACTGAGCGACCTGTTACCCATCCCGATAAAGACCTCTTAACCTCTAGGAGCTCCTTTGAACCATTCCCTTGTCAGCCAAAGTTTAAGACCAAATTTAAGCATTTAAGACCAAAAAACAGTAAAGCTGAAATTCCAAGCCCAATTGAAAATCATTAGCTTTATCTTTTTTGCCAACTCTGACCATATCGTTAAATCTTTTAGCTTAAAGGGTTAAAGCTTAGGGTTTAGTTACTAGTGTGAGTCTTAATCAATCAATCAATGTGCAAGATTTGTTCATGAACTTCTCAACGATAACCGTTTTATTTGGCTTTTTTAATCCCCCGTCTTCCACACTTTCCAATATCACTTTTTGAGTGAGACACGCGAGATGCACGGAAGCTTGCCGCCACAACTGTCATCGCACCATTTGTCCGCATAAACGACGATCCACCCGCACATAAATCCCACCAATATTTTGCTTAAATGATTTGCCATTAATTTGCATATTTGAGAATGAATTGAGAATAAGAATTGATCATAAGAATCATAAGAATTGAGTCCATAAGAAAAGGATTTGCTTTGCACTGTGTCATTGATTTTTTGAAGATTCACATCATCTGCTCAATTTTTATTTATTCATTTATTTTTTTATTTTTTTAAAGCGGCCTTTCCACTACTTGTGCCACTTTTTATATGATATCAAGTTATTATTTTATTTATTTCTTTTTTTTGATGAATAAATGATTTCTTTGCTTTGCCTTTGCCTGTAAAGAAATATTCTTTGCGTGCTTGGTAGAGTTCGGCAAACAAAACCAAAGCCAAAACAGACCAAAACCAAAGCCAAAACAGACCAAACCAAAGCCAAAACAGACCAAAACCAAAACCAAAACACCAAAACAAACCAAAAACGCAATTTGCATATAAATTAACATGTACATTTCAAATTGTAAAATGCAAATTTGCCTTTCACTTTTTCTCACTCCACAAAATCTAGCGGCCGAAAAAAGGACCAAAACACGACCGAAACAAAAAAGTAACCTTTGGGATAGATTTTTGGACGCTGATTTCAAATCTGCCAACAGATTTTCGCTAGCTCCTCCTAGTCGCGAGATATTGGCGAGTTTTGGTTAGTTTTGGTTTTGGTTTTGGTTTTGGTTTTTGGTTTTGGTTTTGGTCTGTTTTGGTCTTGGTGGTTTTGGTTTTGGTTAGGTTTTGTTTTCCGAAGTCTAGTGCTTGGTACTCTTCACTCAAGACACGTTATTTCTTGTTTCGAGATATCTGATCTCACTTGAACTAAAAACACTTTATTCAATAGCCGACTGACTCGGAATCTTTGGGCTCTCACTTGAGCGATTTTGAGCAGCAGAGATGGACGGTACTGATCGAAGCGCGCTGCCACTTCTGGGGTTGATTGAGGTCATGGGGCCCCAAGTTTCGATTTAAATCCAAGGATATGAAGGTGCCTTAGCACTGTAGCATGATCAACCCCTAACTCTTCTCCCAATTCACGCGATGGTACCCGATGGTCGTTGGTAATGAGTTCGAGTAATTTGGAATCATCCAGTTGGGGTGCCGCTCCACAGTCCTCTGCATCTTTCAAAGATTTGTCCCCAGATCGAAACTTGGCAAACCATACTCGACACGTTCTTTCGGAAGGTGAATCCTCCCCATATATCTTTTTGATATTAGCAGCTGCCAAACCTGCACTGTGCTCTTGTAGCATTTTTCACACAAGATCGACAATTGAATTAAAAGTGACGATAAAAACAGAAACAATTTCGTCCTAATTAGGACACAACTTTCACACAATGAGAGGAAAGCAGAAAGAAAATGAAAGATAAAAAAAAACAAAATGAACAACAGGTGGCTTATATAGGCTTTAACACAAGATACTCAGCTAACAAGCTACAATAAACAATAAATAGAATGAAGGCGCACCGATTTCCTCAATATTTTTCCAATTTTTAGGCTCTCAGAGTTAGATAACTTTTAGTGGCTATTCGCCACATTGCCTTTGCTTTGCTAAACAATGGTTTTGATAATTGAGAAATCAAATTTCATCAATCAAATGTCAAAATCAAATTTTACAAAAATTAAAGTGAATTAGAAACGATTAAAGTCAGAATCTGATTCAAATTGACTTAAAATTGACCTAAAATTGACTTAAAATTGCCTTAGAATCCTGCTTAAAATCAGATTAAATTCAATTAAATTTCAATTAAAATTGAGATTTCTAAAAATTACTCAAAAAAATGTCCGTAATCTTGGATCTTCCAATTTACTTGGAAAGAGAGGGGGGAAACGGGCTTGAAATGATAGAAAATTGGATAATAAATATCTTTGAAGCACCGTAGATCAATTGATGAACTTTTCATAGAAATTGATTTATAAAGAAGTGACTTATCGATATCGATATCGATGATTTATAAAGAAGTGACTAATTTAATAAAATCGGATAATTTTTGAGTTGATTCCCAGCTGCCTGTAGCTCAGAAAAACAAGAAAATAAGTTGCTCAAATATGGCTATAAAAATAGTAACAAGTGATCACTTTTTAAAAAGAAAACTAGAGTACGGTAGCTTTTTTTCTAAGAGCTTTTTTGCTAAGAGCTTTTTTGCTAAGAGCTTTTTTGCTAAGAGCTTTTTTGCTAAGAGCTTTTTTGCTAAGAGCTTTTCTTCTAAAAGACAACTAAAGTACGGTAGCTTTTTTCTAAGAGTATCTTTTAGAAATCAAGAGAAATACTGTTGAAAACTCTTCTCAAAGTCAGATTGATAAATCTGAACTGAACAAGACTTTGCTCTCTCTGCAACTGATCACTCCAATTGATCTTGAAGTATCTTGAAGTACAAGATGCTTTTAACGTGCTCTTATCCAATTCTATTGATTTTTGTAGCTTTCTTTATGCTTGAACACTCAAAGAAAGTGGCTAAATTGAATAAAATCTTAGAGCCAAGATTACGGTAGTTTTTCTAAGAATATCTTTTAGAAATCAAGAGAAATACTGTTGAAAACTCTTCTCAAAGTCAGATTGATAAATCTGAACTGAACAAGACTTTGCTCTCTGCAACTGATCACTCCAATTGATTTCGATGTTCGAGAAACGGATGAAACGAGGTCAAATCACCTCTAAAAGCCCGTTTTGATGCCGATTTCACCCATATTTGTTCTCTTTTTCAAGAACATTTAAAATTTATATTTAGCTACCTTTCAGACTATCAGATTGAACAGAAAGCCTTTTCGTTTCTTTCGCTTTTTTAAAGGCTTTTAAAGGCTTTTAAAGGCTATTTTTTAAAATAAATAAACCAATTGATCTATGGTTTATTTTATCAAAAAGTCCTATTATTTATTTATAAATTATTCTTTAAGAAATTTTGAAAAGCTTGCGTTTGTTTATGTTTTTAACACGTTGACGACATTGTCACCTGATGCTGTCTGACACATATTCGTTCGTCTGGGACATTGTCACCTGATGTCAGGTGACATTTTTTGTCGAAAAAAACAACGTTGTCCCATGCGATTGTTTGTGCAAAAACGTCATTGTCGTCAACGTGTTAAAGATGTCAATTCGAGGAGTCAAAAGCAATGAAACTTCGATTTGAGCTTTCGATTTGAGCACTTTTTATCATAGAAATCTATTTTAATGTCAAAAGACAAAAGATAGAGAATAAAAACTTACCGTAAATACTGTCATAGTACCCTATCTCCATAATGACGGTGCGGAGTGTTGGGTAGTCTAGCTTTGAACGAGTTTTCCTTGACACTGGTTTATGCTACAATGCGCGTTTAGATATCAAAAAATAGCTGAAATTCAGGGCTATTTTTTGATACCTAAGCGCGCATTGTAGCATAAACCAGTGTCGAGAAAAACGCGTTCAAAGCTAGACTACGCAACGCTCCGCACCGTCATTATCTTAGGTATCAAAAAAGCGTCTTTGGTATCAAAAAATAGCCCTGAATTTCAGCTATTTTTTGATACCAAAGACGCATTTTTTGAAAGTACGGGCGCTTTGAAAAATAATGAAATACTAAAGAAAGTTTTGCGACTACGCGACTGTACGAGGGGAGGGGAGGGTAATATTACAGTATTTACAATAGGTAGATAGACAAATTTTCAGAGAAATTAATTCAACTAATTTCGTTTTATGTCCATTGTAAGGATTTTAGAAAAAATAAGAATTTCCGTTCGGATTTGGTGCTTCAAAATTGCCAAAAATAAGCTAAATAAAATAGATACTCTTTTTTGATTTAAAGAAAATTGATCGGCTGGCTATTCATTTATAAATGATAATTGCAATTTCAAAAAAGCGGACAAGACTTTCCAACCAAACCAATATTTTAAAATGAATACATATTCAAAAATAACAAAAATTCTTTTAGCTTAATGATCTTCCGGTTATTCCTATATCTCTCATCAATAACAACAATAATTTCGGCTTTTGGTTGCCATAAAGCAAGCGGAATCGTCGGGAAACGACAGTTAAGGTGAGTCTTCAGAAAAACAAATGAGAACAAGTTCTCCATTAATTTGATTCCTTATATCTACAGATTATCTACAGATTTGATTCCTTTTCTCTACAAGCTACAGATTATCTACAAATTTGGTTCCTTTTCTCTACAATCTGTAGATTATCTACAAATTTGGTTCCTTTTCTCTACAAATTTGGTTTCTCTTCTCTACAATCTACAGATTATCTATAGATTTGGTTCCTTTTCTCTACAATCTGTAGATTATCTACAAATTCGATTCCTTTTCTCTACTATTTTCTCCCTTTTTCATTTTCATTACTATATAAACTCAATTATTTAAGAAGATATTGAATCATTTCTTTTATATTTTCCTCCTTAGAGTCCTCTCAAAAACCCCGTCGATTGCCTGGCGGAATCCTGTCGCTCGCGGAGTCCCACTGCACAAATTTCAGAAACCAAAGGTTTAATATAATGCATTCTTAAGAAATATATTTAATCTTAAATTAATGAATGAAAGATGATAATTAAGTATCTTATAAATCTATTAACATCTATACTTCTCAATATTTAATCCATTTTAAACCCTTTACACCTTTAGGCCCAAGCGGCGAACACTTTTTGGGGAAACGAAATCGATGCGCCCGATTCGAATCAAGTGATACGGTTGGTAGAACTGGTAGAACGAATTATTGAAGGGATTTTCGAAATTTTGAACTCTTAGCTCTTTTCTATAGTCAATTAGCTCAAAAAATGTTCAGAAGAGCTCATCAAGATGTCTACTTTTGGCCGTCACTCACCGCATATGAGCGCGAGTTGTTGAGAGACGCTTTTTTTCAGCTACAAAGAAGAACTTGTTTGAAATTCGATCAATTGGTACGAGATATTAATTGTACAGGTTTTGTACAAGTTTTTAAGGTGTAATTTTCTTTCATAAGTTTAGAAAAGGCTTAGAAGGCTTAGAAGTTTAGAAAAGGCTTAGAAGAAAAGAAAATATTCAGAAGAAATGGTTCTTGATAGAAAAAACAAAACTTTATACTGGTTTTTCTAGGACTACAAACCGTGGTACCATGCCGATCGTTGGGACTCTGAGAAACCGTACATTTTAGTGAGAAAAAGTCAAAAATATGCAGGTTGGTCTTGAGAATCTAAGGATAAAGTTTACTAGCTTTACATTGCTTGGCATTGCTTGGCATTGCTTGGCATTGCTTGGCATTGCTTGGCATTGCTTGGCATTGCTTGGCATTGCTTGGTATTGCTTGGTATTGCTTGCATTGCTTGGCATTGCTTGGTATTGCTTGCATTGCTTGGCATTGCTTTCAAACGGTGGATAGATTACCGTAGTGTTAAACCATGGACGAAATACTGTATCTTCGTTCCCGTATTTGTAGTTGCCTTATAGAAAAATTTGAGCCTATTCGGATAACACGGTAGAGGGAACGGTTGGCCGAACGCTTTTGTACATATCAGAGAGCGCCTTTCTGATGCCATCCTACAATCATTCGAGGGGTGCTATCATGGATCAACTTGTGCGTTTCATGGGTGAGTCGGATTGTAACAAGTAATGCTTCCATATCAAGTAATGCTTCCATATCAAGTAATGCTTTCAAGTAATCCCTTTTCTTTGGTGCACAGAGATCAGAGAAACAAAAGAGCCGCAAAAGACGAGGAGATTCGAGGTGGAACTGGGGAAACGTTTCACTTTTTGTCTTCCTTCTCTCCGTAATCTTGTCAAATTTCAGGGCTGAAACGGGAGATCTACCGACCTGACGCTCCTTCGTATATCCAACCAATTGAGTAAGTTAGAGTTTACAACAACTAGGCCAAACATGAATCGACTTTCGTTCACCAAAACTCTGACACTGCCACTGACAAGCTGCTTTTAAGCAGCCCAAGGAAACCAAGGGATTACTTTAAACGATCAATTCTTAACTATATCTTATCTTAACTACAACATCTTTCCAGAGACATCCAGCTAACCCATCAACCACAATTTCATCCCGTTCAACTCGAGTGGCCTTTCGATCCCGAATCGATTACCGTCCCATTATGGGCTCGCGAGAAATTTCAACTCACCGAGTACTGTCCGGCTAGAAATAACGGAGATATCGGCGCCGGGCAAAGGGTCGGCCTTTTGACCAGGTACTTACAGTTGTTATAGTTACAGTTGTTATACTTATAGCAAGAGATTCAACCTCACACTTATTGTTTAATAATTAGAGTTTAGTACGAAAAGTTTCAGACTTACAGTTAAGGAAACTTTTGAATGAGTTTATTTTCAGATGGGACACAATCAAGCTCAACTCGATGTACTGTTCGGCACGGGTTGTTGAGGTAAAAAGGCAACAATCTAAATTATCTAAATTATCTTTTGGCTATGTTTTTTAAAGCAAAAATCAAACTAACCCTGAAATTTTAGGACGCCGATCCACATCGAGGTCCTTGTGTGATCCCACGACGAAAAGATTTAGATGAATTCCGGCGACGAGCCTGGCTCTACAAGAGAATGCACAATCGACGGAGACGGCAATTTTAATTTTATTTTAAGTGATCTTTTTCTTAAGCTACTTATAATAAAAGTATTACTGATAACTTGAAACAGAGAAATAAAGACATAAGACAAGACAAGAATAAGCAAATAAATAAATAAATAAGACAAGAATAAGCAAGCACAAGAAGTCAGTTTTTTAAAACGCAAATCGTTGATCGCTGAACGATGAAAGGCAAATAATTTTCTTTGCTTTTTGCCAAGATTACAAGAAATGCGAAAAATTACCGCGAAAGTCATTCCATTCCATTGAAATTACACTCACATAAAGCAAAAGCAAAAGCCAAGCAAGCCATTTTTCCTTTTCCCCCTTTTGACGATAGTTTTTAACTTATTAACCTTTAAAAAACTATTGCTAGCACTGGTATGCATCCAGGGTTGGCAACAAGTCAAACTTTCAAGAGAATGGTCGAAACCGAAACTATGAGATTTTAATGGTAAGAGGATGCAAACGCTATTCGGCGAAACATTAAATTAATGTTTAGAAAAAAAAGGAGAAAAAAGCCGGGGCTCGGATTCGAACACGAGAGGAAAGCCCGAAAGCCCGAGTAACGCGCCGACGCACTAACCACTAGGCCACTGAGTGACTTGCTATCGAACGCGATAAAGATCTCTTAACCTCCAGGAGCTCCTCTTCCGTTCTTATCCACTAGGCCACTGAGTGATTAGTTATCAAAAAAACACAAATCGTTGAACGATGAAAGGCAAATAATTTTCTTTGCTTTTTGCCAAGATTACAAGAAATGCGAAAAATTACCGCGAAAGTCATTCCATTGAAATTACCCTCACATAGCCAAGCAACCCCTTTTTCCTTCTCCCCCTTTTGACGACTTCTGATGGATTGTTCCCGTCGGGATTCCAAGAAATCAATTCACTCATTCCCTTTTTTTCTCTTTTTCCTTGTTATAAATTTGCATATAACTGACTAGATAATATCTAGTTCTGACATTATTTTGACAAGTTAATTAAACATTTTATTTCCATTTTATTGTTTCAACTTTGGGGACCAGGCATTGCGCGGACCAGGCATTGCGCGGACCAGGCATTGCGTGGACTAGGCATTGCGTGGACTAGGCATTGCGTGGACTAGGCATTGCGTGGACTAGGCATTGCGTGGACTAGGCATTGCGTGGACTAGGCATTGCGTGGACTAGGCATTGCGTGGACTAGGCATTGCGTGGACTAGGCATTGCGTCATCAAAGCAATAACACGGCGACTACAAAATTTCAGCTAGCTTCCGTTTTGCAGAATGTTGAATTTATTGCAAAAATATAGGCCAATTTAAGGCAAAAATTGATCCTTAGAAATTTGAGCAAAGTGACGGCCAAAGTGAAGAAGTCGTCCCAGTCACTTCTGTTCCTGTTGCATTACGGGTTCAAAAAGGGAAACACCTTGTACCAGGGCAGTTTGTCAGATTTAAAGCGATTACGTGGACACACAAAGAACACTTTGCCAGTCTGATGACCCGAAAAGAAGATATTCAGCTGTTAATTTGTAGCCGGGGGTTTTCAGGATCGGAGAATCGATTCGAGATATTCATTTCTGAGTCTACCAATTCGAAAAATCATTCATCTATCCGAGCCGATACCTTTTTCAAATATTTAGATGTAGAGCTGCAAGGCCGAATATTCAAAAAGACTTTTACGAGTTGCTAGACCCGATCTTTTTGATTTTCGATCTCTTTTTCCTACACCTTATGGTCCTGAGTTTTGATGAATAAAAAAAAACTATCATTTCGTCTTTCGCACCGTCATTTTCCCATTTCTCCTCAAAGCAATTTGTCCATTACATTGAGCAACTTTTGCTCTCAAAAATTAGCCGACACCTCCACACAAAAAAGTCGCAATTTTCATAAATGTCCCCTCTTTCCGAAAGAAAACGGATCCGCGAAAAACGTTCATTGAAAATGGATGTCCAAAAAAATGACGTGACTGCTCGGCGTTTTACAAACGTAAAATAATATCTTAAACAACACGAACAACAACTTGCTTTATAACAACTTTATAACCAACTTTATAACCAACTTTATAACAACTAAAGTTATTATAAATTTAGTAATGCAAGCTATTGTTAGTGTTTTTTTTTGTTGTTTATTGTTGTTTATTGTTTTAGCCTTTTTTTTATGACCCATTCTTTTACCGTATTCTAGAACTGTTCATTTGTCACCCCGTTTTCAGAATTGTTTCTTTTGAATGTGTGAGCCGAGTGGCCCCCAACTCGCCCCCAGTTCCACCTCGAATCTCCTCGTCTTTTGCGGTTCTTTTGTTTCACTGATCTCTGTGTGCACGAACTCGATTCTTCTCTATTCACTGCGCACAAATCAGAAATGTTTTCGGTAAGTGAAACAAGGTTGTTTATTATTGAAAACCAGCTGAAAAACCCGGTTAACAGCTGCTTTTTCTAGCTGAATATTTTGGGACAGCTCTTGTCACCATGGTGCAGTCAGGAGCGCGCTTGTCTACGGCGCACACGACTCGGCTTTGACCCGGGTTCGACTCCCTGTACAGACGGACAGACAGACACTTCTCTTTTATATAGTAGATTGTTTTTAATACACTTTCTACCGTACTGTCCTACAGCTTACTATTTTCAAAAATTTGGCATATTTTAGAGATGCACTTTAGCTGGAATATTTCAATTTGTTTAGTTCCTACTTCTATTTCCTCTACATACTCGCTTTTCTCGACATTCTCATTTCTTTGCTCTACATACCGGTGATCGCGTTTGATCATTGGAAGGTAATACTTCGTTTCTCTATTTTCTCTATTATTTTATTTTCTAAAATGTTTCTATTTTCAAAAAGCTACCGTAATCTTGGCTCTAGTTTTATTTAACCTTTTTACTATTTAATCTTTTTCGTATCCTTCTGGAAGCCTCGCAGAAATAGACTAAAAGTAGAACTAAAGACTAGAAGATTGAATGAAACTATGTAGAATTAATATTACGATAGTTTTAGAGAGTAGACACATTTTAGAAAAGGGATTGCTTTGAGAAAAAAGACTCAGAGAGAGAAAAAAAGACTATCTACCGTATTTTCTCTAATAGTAGTGCACCCCTGCGAGCCGAGTTGGTGACTATTTTGCGGTTCCCAATTTTTCCCAGAAGCTCAACACTCAAATCCCCCACTAGATCTCATCGTCAGCTACATTTTCCGACCCCACATCAATAGGTTCTGATAAGCGGTTCTCGAGATTTCAATCAATTTAGGCGACGCTCAGGGTGCACTACTATTAGAGAAAATACAGTATTACCTAAATTTTATCGAAATTTTAGGACGCTTTTGAGTCTCGTCTTTTATCTGTCATTTGGTGGTCGTGTTTTCGTTATTTACTCACTCTCACGAATGTTGGAATGACGATGGCCAGGTGACGAAGAAACAAAATTGAATTATGTTTGAATTGCAACTCCGAAAAACTTTAGTTACATTTTATTGGGCGCTCTGGCCGAGCGTTACTTTATCACGATTCGTTCTCGTGTCGTTAAGCGACTCCAAGAGAATCGTCACCTCTACTGTGCTCTGGCCGGGGTTTTTGCCTTGTTCACGAAAGGTATTCAAAGTTGTTTATCAAGAAAGTTAGTGCTAAATCAAAATCTTTAGATCTGCTAGGTCACTGCGTAAAAAAAAACAATAATTTCAATGATTCTCCTAGAATTTTAGGTCCAATCTTTCTCGAATTCACTCTCATCGAGTACTCGGAGAAAAGCTGCACGGGTACTTATAAAGAATATTTTGTCGACGTGACACCACTTGTGAGAACGGTAAGGAGAGGAAGACCAGGCTTTGATCAGAGTTCTCACATGTTGGAATGACGATGGTTGACCTAAGCCTAAGCCTAAGCCATCAAGCTCAAGTCGAATTTTTCCAGCTCTGGTACGGCTCAATTTATCGTTTCTGGTTACGCAATTTTCTCACCATATTCATCCCGTTTTCCCTATTGCTTTTCATCAACATTCGAACTGTACAAGTGAGAGTTGGAAGTCATTTTTAGATCAAATCATTTAAATCAAATCATCTTTAAATCAAATCCTATTTAAATCAAATTCAAATTTTAGATCTTGAAATCTCAAATCTATCAAGCGAAACACATGATAAAGAGGAAATTTTCAGTTTCATTAGCCGGACGAGTAAGCGACGAACATATGTAAATCATGAAAATGCGCAAATTTTCAGAAGAAAGTTCGCGCCGCCACGAAAACTTTGCTACTCGTTTGCCTTACGTATTTGCTTTCGAATTTGCCAAATGTGATCATCACAGCCTGGGAATTTATAGGTAATAGGTAAACCGAAAAAGCATCTCACGTTTTTAAAAAGCTCTTAAAAACTTTATTGCTTCAAGATGCTGTAATTTAGACATTAATGATCTCCAGAAAAACCATGTCGATTTGTATATGTTTACCACGGATCTGGTCTCACTTTTGGTGATGCTAGCCTGCGCTTTGCGATTACCAATTTACCTGGTGAGAAGAGAAATAGACGAGTCCAGCGCTTCACGGAAATTTTCAGTTGAGCAATGAAGAGCTGAGACTTGTCGTGAAGAAATGTTTTGGCGGCTCGAGAGCCACAGGAGAACTCCTCAAAACGGCTTCTCAACTTTACACAGCAGCCTTACATCAAAACTAGCTCATTGCTGACAGTAATAAAATTTATTAGTCATTTAAAATCTACAAA